ACAAACGTTATTTGAAGCATCAATTACTTCCAAAAGGTGATTTTTCTCTATTTTGATCGCTACCATAGACATCAATGTTTATATCCGAACTATAAACTTTCATCCCATTATTTCTGTGATATGAATGATTGTAAGACAGAAATAATACTTTGTGGTTGAAAAGACTGTTTGTGAAGCTGTTTCTTACCTAAACACAGTAACTGTCTGCTCTCTCTGTGTCAGCGGAGGACACATTTTCTTCGCTGTGTTTAGTTTATCTTCTCAATCTGGCAACCATTCTCATTCGCTCTCTACAATGCAGAAGCGCTGATGATCTAAAATCATCTACAATTATGTAAGTTTGAGTTTAGTGATCCCTGTTGAGATCCTCTGCTCAAACGAAAGTGTCATACAGTCATTTCACAGTCGTTTGCAGTGTTTGCTGCGACTAAATCTGCCATCAAACCTTCTCATGACCAACTGTAACAAATCCAAACACTGTTTGCGATTGAAACTGAAAAAATGCACTTACACGCACATCTGTGCCACAATGCAAAGCCTTTTTGTTGCCGTTTGGATAAAAAGACATGAATCTAATTTGGAATTAATATTAGAAATGTCACTGTTTTGCTTTTTACCAGTTTTCATAATGTCAGAGTTTGTTTATATTTAAGATAATAAAATAAATCAGGACTCTAGATGAGTGTGTGTAATGAAAATGAAAAATATATTCTTTTCAACTAGCCAAAATAAAAAAAGTTTTTTTATTTGTATTTTTTATTAATGTTTATTTTACTTCAAGTAGCACAATTGTTTTGTATGGTTTTAGTGTTAGTGTTAATGATAATAATAACCCTGTGCTAATCACATTAAGATAACAAGCTGAAAGCATCTCTCACACACACACTCACAGAGGTTCATAACGGTGTGTGTGTGTGTCAGTGTGTGTGTGCGTGTGTGTGAGCGTGTGTGTGAGCGTGTGCGTGAGTGTGTGTGTGGGTGTGTGTGAGAGTGTGCGTGCGTGTGTGTGTGTGTGTGTGTGTGTGTGTTTGTGTCAGAAGCAGAGGAAATGAAGATGCTGTATAATAAAACAGACGCTTTAGATTGAGCCGTGTAAAGAGTTTGGTGTTGTTCGCTTGCTGTGTTTACAGTCACCAGTGTTGGGGAGCAACTAGTTACATGTAACAGAATTACGGAATTTAATTACAAAATAAATGCAATTGTAATCAGTTACAGTTACTGAGAAAAAAATGTGGAATTAAATTAGAGTTACTTATGAAAATTTTAAAGATTACAAAGGGGGTTACATCCGAATATTTTCTCACGCACACACAGATTTAATTTATTTCTTTCATAAATTGCATTGACGGCTCTAAAATATGACCCTCTCTGTTAAATCCAGGCTAAAGTCTCAAAATCTAATTATGAGATAACACGCATCAAAGTTTGATTTCAACCATTAATTTCACTATGACTTCAATCTTTGACATGGTCTTAGTCAGTCAGTAATAAAGATATCAATGTTACATTTTCACGGAATGTTCAACCTTATGAAGGATGATTTTATATAGAAATCACCAAAAAATGACTTTAGCTGGGTTTTCACAGACAAGACAGGGTCACAAATATGACACCCCAGGAGTTTAGGACATATGCTTATTCCATAACTGTTTTATTTTTCCTAATTGGGTTTATGTATATGCGTTATTTTTTAAGATTAACTGTGTTTCCTGTCATAGCTATGCATAGATTTGAT